TCCTGGCCGTACTACTAGGAGCAAGGACGCTACTAGGGGCTCCTGGCATCGCTACCAATTGCCTTTGAGCTACACGACTTTCAAGAAGCAACTGCCCAGAGCATCGTCCGACCAGAGCTCGACACGAATCTGCTTGGGCTGGCTGGGATCCACCAAGGCAACAGCATCTCTGCAAACACCTGGCTGGCGACGCAAAACACGAGCGAAACGCGCATCACTTGGGTCACGCAAAACACGAGCGAAGCCCGGAAAGCTTGTCATGCCGATGCATGCCGAGCGTTCGTAAGATTTGGCAAGTTCGACATTCGGCATGAGATCATCACGGCATCAAGTCCGACAGGCTGGCTGAGAGTCTGGTGGTTCAAATGCTCGTATCGCAAGCCACTCATCTTGATGGTGGACAACTGCCGACCTGGCGCAGCACACAGAGGCCCCTCCTCTTACACAAAAGGCCAAACGCACACATCTGTCGGATCCCTCCGGTGGACATGGCCTTCATAGTTGATGATCTGGATGCCCATGGCGTCCACTAGCGCGAAGTGGTGTGGACACCTCGCACACATCTGGGTGCACGGGGAAGCTTGGATGAGATGGGGTGTTTGAGATTGGTGGGTATGGTGTGGTGCTAGCACCCACAATTTTGACATGACGTCTGTTCAAATCCCCTCAGAATTGGACAAATGTCACGTCAAGATTGTTCTAGTTCTGCATACACAAGTTCTGAACTACCAGGGTGGTACTCATTGCAAATTTGTAGTACCTCAAATCTCTATATAAGTCACTTAAAACATCTTCAAGCAGTATGCAGCTGCAGCTGCATGCAGTAATTATGTCTCGAACAAGTAGCTTGCCCGAAAAGCTGGGTGCGTAGCTGAACGATCAGCATCGGTGGCTCCTTCAAGTCTTCTACATGTGGCCTCAGCAAAACGACTGCAGAAAATCAAGGGTATCAAGGAAAAGTTCCAACACCGTGGCTTCACGATCCTGCATTCAAAATCTGAAACCTCGATCCTCGGCTTGGAATTGAGCTTGCAAAGCCATGACACCACTGTAATCATGTTGCACCCTTGGCACAGCCCCATAGGCCCTAGCAACATGCTAAGTTCTCGGGCGTGTTCCAATTGGTGGATTGGTAGACGAAGCACTGGCTGTTGGTGTTCACCACCAGTGCCCCATGAGCTAACGACCTCAGGAAGAGTCCGGAAGAGTCGCTTGCAAAACGTCACATTCATTACGCCAGCTGACACATGCATCACAAAAACAACTGACATCATGCACCGGGTCATGTTCAAGTTCTAATTAGTTACTTTTCTGATCTTTTCTATCACTCCTTGAGGCCTGATGAACATGTAGGTCATGTAGACAACTGAAGTACCCCAACAACCTTGTGGCCACCCAGGCCCCACCCATGGGGCCCCCGGACATGTCAGTCACTCGATCTCTGAAGTCCAACTCCTTGCGGAAAAGGAAACGACCCGGGGACCCGGTCAAGTGCGGATGGCGCGACCCGGGTAACCCCCAGGTGTGTCATGACAATGTGGCGCCAGGCGCCATTGTCCGACAAACTTGCAATGCAAAGCTGTCCGAAAACAACTCTGCTTGGCAAATTAACCGTTAATTAACCCCTCTCTCAATAGAACTGATCATTCCGTTATCAGGGGACAAACCTCCTGCACGAGCCAACATTGAGAAGCTCCCTTTCGTGTTGGCAACCAAGGTCATGTTCAATTCATTTTCCCACATGGCCTCTTTAGTCTCGTTGAGGATGTCAACCACCTGGGCAATCTTGTCTGGTCTACGATGCGTCTGAAGTCAGCCAACGGCAAAAGAAAGGAGAAAAGGCACGATCTCAACATACAGGCGAGATTACAAAAAGAGCCTTCACAAAAGAATCTGACTGTATATGTTCCTGTGCGTGGTATCAGTTGTATTTTGATGCTTTTCCACCACGACCGATCTTCAACATGCTTGTTGCTTGTCCAATTAACCATGCTTGCCAAGCAACAGTGATGGTGTTATTCTCATCCAGGGTCACATCCATGTTCTGCCATGTGCAGGATCGATCCTCGGCTCAAGAAACAGAAGCATCGCTAGCGCAGGTGCACCTTCAGAAGTGTCCTGGGCTGATCGGTACGAAGAACTGTTTGTGCGTCATGCGTTCGTTCCAGTCTGGCGCGTGTGGCCAGGCCGGTAAGCCTCAAGAGACTCTGTTGCCAAACCGACTTTGGGCATCAGTCGGCTGCTTGTGCAGCCAGCCCGGTCGTGATGCAGAAGTCGCACAGCCCATCGGATCTGTCTCAAAATGAAGGAGCCTTCTGTGTCCCTCGATCGTCCCCATGTTGAGATACCACGTGATCCCAGTTCCGCCCAGCTTCCAACAGTTGTGTGCCAGGTTCACAATTCACCAACCACACTTCTTCCAATCCAACTTCAAGGAGTGCAAATATCTAAGGTCGATTGCCACGTGCAGGTTGAGGTAGCGTTCAACCTTTGACCGATTCTCTTTCCATGGAAAGCAAAAAGAAGCAGGTGATGTCCACCTTCAGGTGCTAGCAGGAGGACATCGCCCAACGCGATGTGATGCGCAGTGCTGCTCAACGTGTCAGCGACATGTTGAAAGATTAACCTTCAATGGCTTCTGTCCTGCTGTCCTGCTGTCCTGGATTCCTTATACTACCCCTCGTGTATGCTCCAGTGCATGGCCTGCCATCTTGGCATTCAATCGCTTTCCTCATGTTCAAGCCTATTTGGCAAGCAAAGTCTCGGCTACCTCCACCGTGGGGCTGTCCATGCAACAGCGCCGCTCCCCTTGGCCCGACGAATCCATGGGCAGTTGAGACGTGCATCGCTAAGTCATAGCTCCTGAAGAAGCAGCCCAGCTCTCTGCATCTCCAGGATGAAGTGCCATTCAGGTTACAGTAAACCTCTGGCCCCAACGAGGCAAAGATGCTGCAGATGTACTTAGGGAAAGAGTGGTGGCAAAGAAAGGTCGGGAGACGGTGTTACCTGATCAGCAGATATGAAGAAAAGAAGACGGACAAGAAAGAGCGAGAGTGTAAGGACCCCCTTTGATAAGGCCCTTTAAAGGCTGCAAGGGAGCCGGGCCGTACCTTCGCTTTTTCCTCTCTGTCTGTTCTCTCTCCTTTTCTTGCTCAAAGACCTGAGTTGCAAGCCACCAAGCTCCCAAAGACCACATGTCCGCTGCCAGTACCACAGGCCAGCTGTGTGCCATCCTCAGCGAACGAGACTACCAGGCACCACAGCGGTTTCAGTGCTTTCTGCTGTTCGCCCGGGGGGGTAGGCCGTAGAGGTGAGGTTGGTAGCTAGTAGAAGAGGTAGCTAGTGGCTTAAGTAGCTAGCATGGACGCAGGATAGCTCACGCTTCTATTCATTTGGTTTCTAGACTTTTAGGGTTTTTTTTTTTTCAACCTGTTCCGATCAACCTCAGCTTCACCGCTTGGGTTCCAGGCGTTGCACCAAGAGATGGAAAAAATGGACCCCACATCCGGCGTCTCTCGGCCTGGTGAGTTCAATCCGCTCTGCTTCTTCAAGGCGAGCAAAGCCACGCCACTGAGGGTGGAGCAGTATGACCAGCCAGTGCGATCACAGAGTTTCAAGGTCTTGGCAATACGCTAAGGGATGCAGGAGAAAAGCTTGTGACACTTTGTGGCTGATAGGTAGAAAAACTCCAACACAATATTCAACCTCCAATATCTCATGAGATGATAGGCGAATGAAAAAGAAATCCAATTTCACACAACTGGACTGCTCCAGTGCCTCCTTTTTTCGGTGCCCAACGATCCTTCCTTCGATCCTTTTTTAGTAGCGATGCCCTTTGCTCCTACTAGCATCCTTGCTCCTAGTAGCGGTGCCCTTTGCTACTAGGTCTGCGACGTTGAAGCTTCCCACGGCAAACTGTCTACCTGGCCGACGGGTTCGGTGCGTTTCCAAACGTATCGATATCAGACCTGCAGCGGGTTAGGAGCTGCATTCCAAGGGGGCCCATCTTGATTCAACGAATTCAATAGGGATTGGCTTTATTGAATTGATTCACAGCTATCTATATATATATA